GCTTATAAACATCCAGATGGTACATGACTAAACAAATTGCACATATTTTCTGAAGAAAAATGACCTTGATATCCAAGATAAAAAGCAAGCATTTTATTTGTGCTTATCAAAGCATAAAACAAACTCAAGACAGCTTCATGAAGAGACCTGTATCTCAGATTTCTGAGCTGGTCAGAGACATTTCTAAACTCCATGCATATACAGAATGGCTCTGCTCTCAGGTACAGCCAAAGAACACACACCAAACATCAAGCAAACATACAAAGATGGCCCCCAAGTTCCTTATATCTCTGACTGTCTCTTCTGTCTGGTTATGATTTAAAGTTGGCTTTTTGGACCTTAAGCCAAGAAAAACGGAGCAACACAGAAACAGAGATCCATAAAGTGCAAGGCTTGCAAGATATGCCCTCATTCAGAGGGATTTATATATAATTACATATATATATGCACACACATATGTGCACATGTGCCTGTGTGCATGTGTGTCTACATATACACTCACGCACCTATAAATAATAACTGTGTGTGTACATATATATATATATATCTCCACTCGAGCAGTGCAAGGTGTCAGAGGCATCAATCCCAGCCCCACAGAGACTGATTCTAACCTGTGAGGCCCTATTCCAACCTGCCTACAGAATTCAGGGGCTCTGTTATGCACATGAAGCTGCATATAGCAGCTGGCCCTTCGTGTTTATCAGAGAGAGGAATGCATCTCACAGAATATATCTTTGCAGAAGCCAATTTGTGTTTCTTATCTCCTTACTCCGTGTCTCCCCTCATCGAAAGGAAAAGAAAGGCTTTGGGTTTACACAGTGTGTTCTATGGGTTCAGAAGTAAGTTTTTACCAAATAATAAAAGCAGTTCTAAAACTAAAATAAAATGACAGCATAAGAAGCATAAAGTCATTACTTTTGTTCAATAGTCCTTCTATTATTAATTTAGAGAATATTATTTTCAAAAATATACTCTAGAACTCCGCCCATTTTGCTAATTTGAAAAATCAGAAATGCTGTCAAGTCCAAAGAGAGAAGGCAATCACATATCACTCCCCTCCACCAAGACCACTGTTTCTGAATGTTAAAGGAAGGCAACAGAGTATCACACTAAGCAATTCAAACTTAAAAAAAAAAAAAAGCCAGATTTGCAGTTCTACCTGTAACTCTCACTATACTCCCCTGGGTGCTCATCCTTTACATTGAGCAGCCATAGGGAAGAGAACGGGATCAGGTAACCACAAAACAGAACTCAGTAGACAAGTTTAAGAACCAAAGCAAAAAGGACAAAGCGACAGGCATTTTCAAATTCAGATGCTACCCCACTGTCTGTCCAATAAAGTGTTAATATGATCTGGGGAAGATGGATGCAAGAAGGGAAGGAGAGGTAATGCAGTTTCCTAAAAGACAGGAGAGAATGGGAAATATATATCCCTTTAGACATAATGCTCTTGTGTGCTTATTCCCAGTAAATATATAACCCTTTAGATATAATGCTCTTCTGCGCTTATTCCCAGTATGCCCTTCAGCAAGGCTGGGACTCTGACCCTCACCCTTGTAATATGTCTGAATTACATAAGCAACCACATAAGATATCCAGAAAAAAAAAAAAAAAAAAAAAAAATGAAAAACCCACCATATTGGAGTAAAGAAAAGGGGAAGCAGTGACTTGCTGCAATAAGGCCTGTTCATGGATCCCGCCAAATTCTTGAAATTCATCCCATATTCACATACCAGTAGTATCCATATGCCATTGACAGCAGTATTCATACACCACTGATGCAGACAGTGCCAGACAGTGAGTGGAGGGAAAGAAAGAAAGAAGGAAACAGGAATATGCCCATTGAGGGAATTCTCTTTGGGGAAAGCGACAGTAGTGAGCAACCCCACAACGATATCATCAGGAGCTAAAGGCAGGCCACTTCGAGGCTTGTCAGCATAGCCTCCTTGCCACTGTTGCTCTTACGAGTGGTACTAAAGTGCTCTATTACTTCATTTCTCTGTACGACACAAGTGACAGAGGGGAACTGATGACTTTCAAGTGTTTATGCCTCAGCAAAACTTAAACAATTTCATGGGGCAAAGAAATCAAACCACTTATTTAGCCTAAGGACCATTCCTCTTGCCAAACTTCAATGGTTTTTGCAAACAATAGAGCTTCTCAAAGAGATCTTACAAATTCTTTATAATGGAAACTATTAGGCAACCTAAATATAGAGTTCATTACCAGTTCCCTCTATACCACAGTACGTTAGGGTTCTATTGAGCATTCTTTACTCATGCTTCTAATGAACTTCAGCAGG